CCCCCCCTCACGCCCCGTCCGACGCGCCACGGGGCTTCATTGATTGTTGCCCTCCCGCGCCCCTCCCGTCGCGGCTGCGAGCACACGGCCCTCCCACCGTGTTATTTGGTTGTTGCCCTCCCGCGCCCCTCGCGTCGCGGCTGTGGGCACACGGCAATATCGCCGTGTTCTGTGAACATTGCCCCCCCTCGCCCCTTCCGTCGCGGCTATGGGCCTCAATTGTTGTTTAAGTATGATGCCCTCCCTCACCCTCCTCACTGCGCGGCACGGGGCACTTTTTCCTGCTGCTCTCCCACGCCCCTCTAGTCGCGGCTATGGGCACACGGCCATTTCGCCGTACTCTCTGAATGTTGCCCCCCCACGCCCCTTCCGTCGCGGCGATGGGCACACGGCAAGATCGCCGCATCATCTGAATATTGCCCCGCCACGCCCCTTCCGTCGCGGCTGTTGGCACATGGCCTTGCAGCCGGTATTCTTTGTCTCCACCCTTCCACGCTGCTGCAATGGTGCCATCTTCACCATCTCTTGCTGCTGCTCGAGCTGTGTGTGGATGGTGCGCGCGCAGTGACCTGCGCGGCTATCGTGTCTTTCCCCCGCCTCTTCTTGCAATGCCTCACGTGCTACATCTAGCTTCACTTGGTTGTTTCGATGGCGCACCGACGTCGTCGCGGGGACGCATGCTGCCCCAGCTCTCTAGACCCAAAAACTTTCCCGCGGTCAACAGGCACACGTGGTGTGCCGTCTGCGGCACCCCCTCCAGCGCCGCACAGCTGTTCGACGTGATGAGTACGTTGCTCTAACTCTTCGGCCAGTGCCTCGAGCGGCGGCTGCATCTCTACCAGCGCTGCCTATCTTGTACAAGTATTCGGTGTTCTGGAATCTACCAAACCCACCGTTTCCAGGGACCTGAAATGCCCACACCGGTTCGCCTTCCGCAACCGGCCTTCTGCTGGTGATCTCTTCTGCACCCGTGTAGTCTATGCAAGTGCCCACCGCTGCAGGCTGCTCTTGGGATGATGACCCCCTGACGTCCCCGCTGCCCGGTCCTACGCCCGGGTCCACTCCACGAAGGATGTTTGGCACTACCAGGCTGGCTCCCGGTCTGGTGCTTCTTCCCTCGTGCTGTGCGGGCGGCGTGATTCCGTCGTTGTGCAGCCCCTCTTCCAGCAGACCGCGGGCAGACGTAGTGCCCGTGACGACAGCGCCCAACCCAGTGCCGCCGGACTCCCCCTCCTTCTTCAACTTTCCGAGGGCGGCTTGGAGAAGCCCTGGCAGCTGCTGTACCTCGTCCGTCAGGCCTGGAACTTTGCTCTCCAGGTTGTCAACTCTGCCCTGCGTACTAGTGGTGACGTCGGCAGTCCCTGCTGCAACATCGGCGCCACTCATCTCCAGCACGGGTTCCCTCGAGGGATACACTCTAGAGAAGCAATCGCCGTACGAGATGTGGCACGGGCACCCTCCCCCGCCGGGGGCGATGTACCCGTTCCTCAAACCTGCCGTATACAAGGTCAAGCGCACACACAAGTCCGATCCGAAAGCCCAAAAGTGTTTTTACCTTGGCCCGGGAATCAACACCAACCGTGATTGCGTGCGCATCATTAACGATAAACGCCAAGCGATCACAACTCGCAACTTCACCTGGCAATCCGTACCCACCGCCCCCGCCGCCCTGCCCCAGTCGCTGCCTCCCATCGCAGAGGAGGAAGAGGAATTCGCGACTGAGGAGGACGAGGTTGGGGAGGGCGCGTCGAGCCAAGGTGGAGGGAGGGCGGAGGGAGAACCTGTGGATGGAGGACCAGGTTTCAACCTTGGCACGACGGCAGCCCCGGGGCCCGCGGGGCCGGCCGCGCGCGTAGCGCCGGTGGCACCGCCGGCCGCGCCCCAGGAGTCGGGCGCGGGCGACGCTGGCGATGGCGCCCCCTCGAGCAGGGAGAGCGCGAGCGTCGCCCCATCTACCACGTCGACCGGCACGGCCGATGTGGGCGGCGGCGAGGACGACCGCCGCAGCAGCGGTAGCGGCGGCAGCGGCGGCGACAGCAGCGGCCGCGGTAGCTGCGGCAGCGGCAGCGACAGCAGCAGCGGCGGCAGCGGCGATGACGGCGGCAGCGACAGCGGCAGTGGCAGCGACAGCGAGACTGATCTCCCGGCGCTCCGTGGGCCAGAGGCCCGGCGGCTCGCCCGCTTCATCAAGCCGGCGGAACTCACCAGCCGTCGCACTAAGGAGAACCCTCGCCGAAACCCTAGGTACGAGTCGCCCCCGTCGCCGACATGTGCCGAAACCCTGCTCGCCTCGGCGGCGAGCCTGCCCGTCAGCAGTACGGAGAAGTTCACCCACTGGATGCTCTAGGCGGTACTTCACGTGGTGGAAGGGCTAGAGGCAAGGGCGGTGCGAGGTTGCTGTTCGAGCGCGCGGAGGAGGCCCACGCTGCGCGCCAAGAGGCGGAGGATTTCCTGCTGGGTACGGTGGACCTCATGCTCAACTCGCCAGACGCCTTCGAGACGGCTCTGGCGTCCCACGAGCAATGTGAATCCCCCATTGGCCTGCGTCCGAGTGATGTAGAACCCCCCCTCATGACCGTAGCCGGCGTTGCTAAGTCTTGTGTACAGAGAGGGGTGGGAACAGGCCGTGATGGAAGAGTTTGAAGGGCACTTGGGCACGGGGACGTTTTCATTCGTAGACGGTGCGCCAGAGGGGCGCAGGCCTGTGAGCTCAAAGTGGTGTTTTAGTTGGAAGACCAACAAGGAAGGGAAGATAGACACGTTCAAAGCGCGTCTGGTTGCTAGGGGGTTTCCGCAAATCCCGAACGTCGATTATTTCCATTCGTCTTCCGCTTGTCCATCATCCGCATCCAATAAACTAATGCTTGCGGTAGCAAACGAGAAGGGCGTGAACTTCAATCACTCGGATGTGAAGCAGGCGTACACACACGCCACGCTAGACGAGGAGGTTTTTCTGAAGCGTCCCGCTGGGTGCGGGGAAAAATTGCGAAAGATTGCTAAGGCTGAGCGTGCGATTTATGGTCTGAAGCAGAGCGGTAGGCAGTGGGGGTACCACGCTGCTGATACGCTAGTCGAGAACGGGTTCGAGCAGTGCAAGGCGGACCCGTGTGTTTTCCGCAAGATGGTAGACGAAGTCGTGGTGATGATTATCGTGATTTACGTGGATGACATTTTGGTGGCTGGGTCTGACGAGGATTGCGAGGAGTTGCTTGCTTCTCTCAACAAGAAGTTCCCCACCAGAAATGTGGGAGAATGCGAATGGTTTGACGGGTGTGCCATCGAGAGAGATGTAGAGGCTGGGAATCTTAAAATCTCGCAAACCGCGTATATCGACAGCATGGTGAAACGCTTTGATGTACAATCGACCTCCCGCATCCCTGCTTCCCCTGGTGTTGACCTAGGACCGAAGCGGGATAACGAGAACGGAGGGGAGTGGCCGGTGAGGGAGGCCATCGGCAGCATGATGTGGGTGTCGACTTTCTCGCGTCCAGACGTCTCGTTCGCCGTGCGTGCGGTAGCGCGCCACGCCCACGCCCCGGCGAAGCGGCACTGGGATGCCATACAGAAGATCCTCGGCTACCTGAAAGGGACGAGGGACCTCAGCATCACCTACCAACGGGGATCGGGGTTAGGGCTGGCCGTGTACGTAGACGCTAGCTACGCCGACACGGAGGATAAGCGTTCGGTGTCAGCGTTGGCGACGACGGTTGGAGGTACCGTAGTCAGCCATGGTAGCAAGACACAGAGCATCTTCGACGGAAGCCGAGTACATTGCTGCCGGGGAGGGCGTCAAGGAGGCGTTGTTTGTGCGTGCTGTGCTTTTGTTTGTTGCCCCAGAGACGAGTGGTAGCAGCATCCAGGTCCTTGAGGACAGCCAGGGGGCCATCGCGTTGGTGCAGAACCCCCTCAGCTCAGGTCGCACGAAACACATCGACGTGAGATTCCATTTCATCCGCGGATTGTTTAGGTCGGGGGATATTTAGATCAAGTTCGTTCCGACAACGGAGCAGCACGCGGACCTCCTCACCAAGGCCCTTAGCAGGGCCAGCCTGCTGACAGTTCGACGAGAAAACAAGTTCCATGTTGCGCCAGATTTGTGCCACCATGCGCGCTGTCCCACTCAGATCGATCCTGGGGATTGGCAGGTTCGCCTATAATCTACCCGTCGTGATCACTCTTTGTGGCTGCTCGAACCATGTCGCCAAAAATTGACTCTCATGGTCGGCGTCGCAACAACCACGGCATCATGTTCATGTCAGACTTGGTTTACCAATGAAAACGTGTGCGGGCCGAGTGAGTTACCAACGTTACCTAGCATGTAGAGCCAGTAAGTCATGGTACGGCGAAAGCGCATACGGACGCCGATGCGCCACCATGCTGCATACGTCCGAAGTGTGCGACCAAGGACGACCAGGCGCGCTTTTTCTCTCCTCGTCACCAAAAGACCCCTTTGCTGTCTCTATCGCTCATGTTTTTTCATCCTCTTGAATATGTTTTGAAAAAGCCATCTCATCCAAGGATTCGGATGGAATCATTCGACAGTCTATGATCCAGAAATTTAGAAACCCAAACGGTGTCATCATTACCATCAACATAAGATGTTTTCGTTGTTCGAAATATTATGTACCGTTTAATGCCGTTCAGGGCGTTGGGTGTTTTTTTTTATCACAGCTAGGCCTGTTGCCACGGTGAGCAGGTAGTGTGACTGACACAGTTTGAAGGTAGTGACTGACTGGCTGACGAGCAAGCGACTGGACGACTATATAGTACTAGACCACAACAATGAAGGGTGACCGGCGAATTTCTCTACATGTAGCGCCACGCCCTTTCTCTTTCTCTTCCGCGGACTCTTGTCCGCGGTAGATCGCCAATGGGTTCGTAGTGTCCAGAGACGAACTTGTATTTCTGCGGTTGTTCCCCAAGCAGCTGTTGCTCCTCTTTTTTGTTTCCATTCACCATCGGGTGATCTGACGACAACGCAGTAAACTCAGCCAGCAGCAAACTAGTCCCGAAATAAGCAAAAATCAGGTTCAGGCAGGCAACGCCGACGAGCTCGTCGCGTTTATATATCACAAAAGTCTAGGTGTACAATTCACATGTAACTTCCTACATAATGAACCAGCAAGCTGTCACACGACACTGCGTCGTGTTCCCTGTGAAGGCCACGTTCAATACCACATGAAATAACGGAGGGCTTCTCCCCGATAATTCTCATAGAGAATCACCGACTTGCGGTATGCAGATGTTGTTATTGTTCTCAGCACCAGCTGGCATCGCCGATACAAATCAGTGTGGTCTATAATAGGCTAAAACAAACTCAACAGTGCCCAGTTTCCAGCCTTCTCTCCACTCACTGAAACGACTTCAACATATCCCTTTCGACTGAGGTTTTTTCTCGAACGGGCGAGTCGTATTAGGTTCGCGGTTGAAAGGTGGCGATAACATTCCGCTACATTTGAGAGGCGACGATAACGTGCCGCTGGAAAGAAATATAGACACGTACGTGCGGGTTTCTGGATGCAGGCAATGCAGTATGTACGTAATATATGCGATAACATACTTTTTGTGACGATTCTGGGTGCATGCTCCACATTCTCCACACAACTGTCATCTGTTGAACAGGCGTGGCAAAAGGTGCACCCTATTGCTGTAATGGCAATCTTCCGAACACTTTTCACGCGCTGAAACGCCGTCGTGTCGGATTGGTAAGGGCGTCAATTAAAAAGCAAGCGAAATTCGGGCGAGAACAAGCTCACAGCATCCTTTGATCAAGAAGTGCGCGTCGTAAGGACTTCTTCTGGTATAAATCAAGCACAGAACGATTGGTGATGACGGGATTGTTCACAAGATTTTTCATTCCCTAAGACCCAGTATGCAGTCAAGAACACATTCAAATGAGCTAACACGGATAATACCCGTGTGGAAGAACGAATCAGGCGCCAGGCTGTGTGTGCAGCCACGGCGAAAGCAGCAGCCGCGGCCAAGGACAGCGTCGCTCGGCACATTATGGAGGTAGGGACGGCACCGTTCCGCCATCGTCCACCAAGCCTGTGGTGTATTATCACGACGTTGCTGTAGAAGTGTCTCGCGGGAGGATGGGTGGTGTGGAGATAAACATTCCGGTGCCTGTCGGAGCACACACCCTCCATACGGGTGTTGGATCATTGTCAATATCTGGAAGGGCGGTGACATGAAAAAATGTACTGACATGAACGAGTGACAAATTGGGCCGTTTCCCGCATACTCGCCGCCCGGGAATTTCGGTGGCACATATGAAGGTCCTTCTGTGCGAGGGTTTACGGCCGTTCAGCGTCTACGTCCAAAGTCACCATGCAAACCTCGAGATAGATCCAGTCGACGGCTTCAATGGAAGAGGTAGGGCCTAGGCGAGATCGACGATAACTTGCCTGTGATGTGGGTTCGGAGTTGTGCACGAAGCAGATCGGGAAAAATTCACCCCCAACATCATCGACGCCTCGCCTTCGTCTCTCCGTATCTCTCGGTTTCCTTGTACGGTATGCAGATCGACGATGCGTTGCTCAAGCTGGAGCTCAAATGTCCTTGGAAGGGAACTTTTACGCAACGCCGCCGACAAATACTTCGTGGACATCCGGACTGCGTATAAGGTGGTATCAAGTAGGTTGCAGTGTTGTACGTGTCTTCGTTGAAAACGGTCAACAGGTGATCGCTGGTTGGTGTGCGTGCGCTGGCACAGACTGGTCCTTGCACGCCATTGACGTAAGCGCAATTTCCTCGCTTTTCTGTCTGTGCACTTGGTTGCATCAACATGAAGACAAGACTGTCTTCATATTTCCGAATGTCGGGGGTATAGCAAAACATTCAAAACATATCATGGACACTAGGTGTGAACACCGAAGATCACTGCTAACCTCCAAAACACCTTCTTGGCTCGGGCTGTCTTTTTGCGTCATCGTATGCTTTGCCGAAAATCAAGGGGTGCTTTGAACGTCAAAACTCGGCCAGTTTCCGATGCCTGAATTGTCCACGCTACCCTCCTCACGCGCGCAGGTACTCAGCAGTGCCGATGCCCGAATGGAATACGACCGCCGCGTCTACATGAAAACTCCTAGGTGGGACAAGAGCGTCGCCGCACGAGAGGTCCAAATGGAGGAGGTTTCCCACCACGAAACGCTTGGCATCAATGAAAGCGCCACCGAGGCGGAGGTAAGCAAGCGTTCTTCAGCAAAAATCCACCATCGACGTCGGCAATCTCCGACACCACGGAAAGTTTTGCTAAACCGCCCATGGGACACCCATGGGCCGCCCATGGGCACTTCATCTGCCGCCTATGGGCATGCCCATGAGCGGCCAATGGGTGGCCCACGAAGTGCCCACCGTGGGCAAACTTCAACCTAGAACTTCGCCACCGGCATGTCAACCTAGAACTTAGCCACCAACGCCAACCTAGCACGTGTCCCGGGGGCTTGGGGGTAGGGTTAGGGATAGCTGTAGGGGTATTTCCCGCTATAGTGCCCGTTCCAACGCAGATAATGTATTGCTTAGGAGTACGCTGGGGCAGGTTGAAGAGCCCTCATTGGTCGCCCACGGGCTTCCCATGGGCTGCTCACGGGCTATCCATGAGTAAGAAGCCCATAGGCAGCCCATATGGGCTGCCCCACGAGCATGCCCATGGGTGACCCATGGGTGACCCATGGGCTGCCTATGGACCTAACGGGGTGCCCATGGGCGGCCCATGGGTGACCCATGGGTCACGTATGGGAGTCACATGGGTCGTTTGGGGAAACTGTAGAAAGTGTGGGAGCCACAGATAGGAGGAAAAGCGCATTGAGCAGAGAACTGTGACTTTTAGGCTCTTCGTACCAGGCATGTCGAAGACTTTCAAAGCGCTCTCGAGGGTTGCAGCTCTCCTCGAGGTCAACTCTGTTCATGTAGTGTGCACTGCACTTAAAACGCATGATATTTTCCTTGTAGACGTGCTTGCCAGAAAGGTTTTGATGGTGCTTCACCGCTGCCAGGGCCCATTTTTAGCCGTTTTGATTGCTCTATGCCCGCGCCCCAATCCCAGAGAAACGTATTGCCTCTTACCACGCACCTTCTTTCCCTGCTCCTCATACCTCTCTGCCGATGCCTGCCGATGGCTCGGTTTCCTATCCATATGCGACACGGTGGTACGGGCGTGAGATGAAAAGAGTCTGTCGTCGCCTCAAGGTCAAGCACCCCCCATCAAATGACGGAGGCAGCACTACCTCCAGGAAATACTTAGCAAGATCAAGAGAGCCTGCGATGTGAGAAGACACCCTTGGCGTGTCAGCACGAAGCGCACCATGGGTATCAGCGTCATGCACGGTCCACGCCCTGTTTCCTTGTTCTATGGTAGCCCAAATCGAACAAGCTAAGTCCCTCCCCCCTCCCCCTCCGGCAACCTCCCGGTGTTTGCCACCGGGGTTGGGTTTTCGTCGCTTGGCAACGACGTTGTAAAACAAGCCAATTCACTTCGTGAAATTGGCAACCAGGTTACCGTTTTTTTTTTTTACCTCCGTTTTAGTTTTTGGCGGTAACCATAATGGTGGTCAAGTATATCATGTTGTGCGGGGTGGAGAACCCTCACTCCGCGCAAGGGGGATGATCGCACCACGTTGTGTTAAAATGGTCAAGCACCCTCGAGGCAGTTACACAGTGCTTACAACTGTCTCTGGAAGTGAAAGCACCAGAAAATAAATTAATTCATACGCAGCTGTCATCCGTACGCAAGGAAGTAAGCACAAGATGCCGAACACCCTTAGCAGGATGCAGCGCACCCTTCATGCGACTCGCCGAATATCTCACGGCGCTTCGCGCTTGGTGATGTGAGAGCCTGGTCCGGTGAGAACCCGGCGTGCTCCGTCCCGGCTTTGTAGGGATGCGAGGTCAATGGTCTAACGACTACGGCATGCACGACTCTGAGTACACCCCCCTCCGGCAACCCCGACAACGTAGTGTAGACTAACATGATACTCCTGGAATATTTGTCAATAGGTTTGTTTTTCAGCTCTGGTTCCTGAGCCATGAACCAGCAAAGCGTGAGCTACGTAAATATGATACTTTAGGACTACTACACTGCCTTCTTGGATTTCTGGCCGGAATGTTTCGAGATTCACATGGAGCAAACGACAGATTTTCCGTGTCGAACGTTTCAAGCGCAGCATGCCTTCTGCGATGTTGATCTCAGACAGTGTTCCTCCCGCGTGCTGCGTTAAAAATACCACCTAACTCTGTTCGATACATCTGCTGCCCTCGAAGAGGAAGTTAAGATGAAAGCCAAAGGTCCCTATGCGAACCTGGGCGCTAGTTCGACCGCTACCCCGGCAGAGGTACACCATTCCGCCCAGGGCGATATCTTTCTCGTTTCACTTCATTTGCCTTCCCGCGCCATGCTCGATTCTTGTGGCACTTCTCTTCGACAAACCCAGGTCTCTCCTTGCTGGGAATATATTTGACTGCATGCCGTGTTTCGTGGGTATTTCTGACAGTGTCAAACATCATTGTTCTCATGCCGCTTGGTCGCTGCTATGGTCATTGCCCACGCTGTAGGTGAAGAAGGTATAGTCTACATGTGTTTGGCTCTGATGCACCACCCGGACGAAAGCAACAATGGCCGCATTTCTACGGTGCGCATGACCTCTATCAACGAGGTACTCCGGAGTTTGTGCGAAGTGAATTGGGCAAGCTTCAACACCGTCGACGCTTGACCAACACCATCCTTCTTCACAGTGAGAGGATAACTCCGCCATGAACTCGGCATGGCGGCGCATCTGCGTTTCCAGCAGATGCTATGATATAACCGAGTATATGCATGAACACGCAGATGGATAGTCTAGTCCTTAGGGCCGTTTTAAACTGACCGACTTTTTGTCAAAATCTTTGAAAGTGTCAAAAAAATGGAACCTGTATGTAGGCGTTTGTCCATTTTTTTCAAAAATATTTGGAACGAAGTTGGGCGCGAAAACTTTGCTTCACTTCGTTCCAACTTTTTGACAACCCTCTCAAAGTATTTGGAGCACTTTCCAAAGTACCCTTGCAGAGGCACGCGAGGGCTGCTGCGTCTGCACCACGAGTGCCCCTCACCGTAGAAAGTCAGCTAGGGTTGTGTGTGAGTCATGGCCGACCGTAGAAAGCGCGGCGCGCCTACAGATTCGAGCGGCTCTCCTCGCCCACGGGCACGCGCAATACAAAAAAAAAAAACGGCGGTCCGCCATGATGGCTTGCAGTTGTTGCTTCGCGTCCGCCGCTTTGTTTTTTCCTTTTCCCGGGGGGGTAGGAGCAGTGGTTGCCACCCCTCGCCGGCGGAGTGTTGGTGGCGGCAGCGCCTCCCGTGGTAACATGAGTGTTCCCCGAGATGCCAGGCAGCAGCACTATCTTGCTGGAGAGCAAGCCTCCACCGCCTACGGCGGCACCGAGAGAGCCCGTCTGCTGGAATTTCGCCGGGGTTTTGGTCTGCCGGCCACGCTGGGTGGTCGTGATATCCATGTCGGTGTCCATGATGTCGTGTTTTCCGCGGTTTGTGTTGTGTCGTCTGTGTTGTCTCGAAGTGAGCGCTACAACTCACGGACGGCGTCATTTTTTTTGACACAAGTTGCACAAGTCTACGTCACACGTTTAAAATGACTGCACACAGGTTCCAAGTTTTTGAAAGACAAATGTCGAAAATTTTGACAAAAAAGTTGGTCCGTTTAAAACGGTCCTTAGGACATGATGATGTCGTGGTTCCGGTTTTGGTGGTGTGGTGGTCTGTGTGGTGTAGTGGGGTGTGAGGGGTTGCTTGGATACCCCCCCGGGAACTCTTTTAATTATTTGGGGGGGAAATGAGAGATAGACACTTGCTGTAAGACTGAAACATTTGTGCTAGCCAAGCTCCCAATCAATCAAGACCACCGCTGGAAGAGACAGATAAATCTGTAAGACTGAAACCCTTTGTACCAGCCAAACAATTCCAGGGTCTGCTTTCGTGCACGGTGCTCACCCTTGTTTCTACATACCCTATCGCTCAATTCTCACCAATTTGGTCTATCTATGCCAATACGATGAAACTGGCCAGCATGCTGTGCGGGACCATCCATTGAGGTTGACTGCCTTGCCAACGGTCGTGCCAACGGTCGTGCCAACGGTCGTGCCAACGGTCATGCCAACGGTCGTGCCAACGGTGGTTACAGTCTACCATGGGCGTGCAGCAATCACCCCGACTGTGGTGTGCCCGAGCATGAGCATGGCCCAACGGTTTTGTTGTGTGAAGCATGCCATGCCTTGTTGTGCTATGCCCGCCTGCGCCATGGTCCTCTGGTCGGCTGTAGAATGAATGATCGGGTTGTGCTGAGAATATGCATACCGTTATCCGTCGGATCCATCCGCCGATCCGTCCACCACTCTCAGGTTGTCGCTGAAGGCATGTTGTTTGAGACCGCTATCACAATGGCGTGTCTTCGGAGCACACTCACTGGCCAAGTGACCATACACGTACGTACTGCTGGCCTGCGGGGGTGAGGTGGATGGTTGTGCGCGTGGAATTCAGATACAAGTGTCCATTTGCATTTCGCGGGATTTACCATCGATGTGGCCGCCTTGGAGAGGAGGGTTACGAGTTCATCGATGAACTTGCGACACATGCCGTGGGAGGAAGGGACGGAGGAACGATGGCTCTGAAAGGAGTCTTCAAGGAACGACTTCTTCAGATCGTTTCGGTGGCTACACAGGTGGCCATATCTCGGCGAGTGCAGAGGTACAAGCTCGCATTGCGCGGGCGTCAAGACGCCGAAAACAGGCGAACAAGATCGACCTCGGACCAGTCAACGCCAATGATATGGGGATGGAGTGTAGACGCATCGTAGAACGCGTTTTCGTTTGAAGTTGGCGTCTTGTTTGAGAGTAGATGTGACAGATTTGCGTAGAATAGGGTAAGATGTTATCATGAACGGAGATGAAAGGGCTTTTCCAACACGGAGATGTAGCATGGATCAAAGCATTTGTTGGATTTCAGCTTTTACAAGCGGACATCAACGCAGTAGTATTTTAGCAAGCTTACGAACGCATATAGGATACCATCAGGATTGTCATTGGTAAGTTGAAGAGGAGATACTTTTACGATGTAAATGACAGTAGAAATAAGTCCTACATATGTTGTTGTACTTCGTATTGGTTTAATATTCATGTATGTAGAGTATGAGACATTAAGTGAAAGTTTTCTGAGGTACATCTGCAATTGTCGGAAGGCAAAAATAAATAAATACCGTTTTCGTCCTGCTGCCCCCTCCGCTCTTCAGTTCGCTGTTCACGGCAGAGGCTAATGGCCCGCCAACAAACACTGTATGGCAATAGCCAGATGTCAGGAAGGGGCATCGGGTCGGCAAATGCTACAGCAGAGGGTTGGCAAATTCGAGTCCTGCTGGTACTGTTTGGCGACCCTTGATGGTGCAGGGAGGATTTCTCACACTTGCGCTCCGGTGTTGCGTGATGGTGAGGATCTACTGTGTGCACGTATGTCTCCGAAGGTTTTTCGGAGCTTGGACATATTGCCACTGTGTTGTGCATGCCAGGCTCTCTTGATAGGTTCATTTCCGCCGTGGGACACCGGCTTTTTTCAACTAGTCTACATGATAATAACCAGGAAGTGGCTCATCAACTCGAAAGGGAAGAGTTGGAATCAGAAAGACACCACGCGCTTCACGAGGGATGGAAATTTTCGGGCCTCGCACGTGTCGTTCATTCTGATCCACCCCGGCGGCATGCGAGTGGCGTTAAAGTTGAAGACTTCAGTAGTTTTGTGCAAGTATCAAGTGGAACGCTGAGACACAGCTTCATGTCGGGGAGAACCAACACAAAAGCTCATACCGTGGTTGTCAATCCTGCCTTTACGGGAGAAACAACCGAAAAGGTTGCTCGACCGAACGAAAAGAAGCTGGGGGTCAGCGGCTGTGTCCCCCACACATGCTCCAGTTTTGCTGAACCGCCCATCATGTGGGCATAACGTTGTGCCCATGGGAAGCCCATAAGGCACCCATGGGGTCCATGGCCTGCACACTAACCGTCAATGTAGTGCGCTTCAACCGAAGCAGTGTACTCCGAAACAGAATATCTGCTTTTTGAGGGGCGAGAAAAAGGCTCAAACCCTAACGCCAACCGCAACCCCAACCTCATGCCACACCATATGTGCTAGGTTGGTGCTGGATGGCTAGGGTTAACTGTACAGTAGGTTGATGTGTCGGGAGGCTAAGGTCTCTAGCTATAGATTGATATCACATACCGGTGGCGAAGTTGTGGCGAAGTTCTAGTTAAATGTCCACGTTGAGCAGTTCGTGCGGAGTTCATAGGCTGCCCATGGGCCCACCAAACGGGCAGTTCACGGCAGTTCACGGGCAGCTCACGGGCAGCCCGTGGTCAGTCCATGAAGCACCTATCGGTGGCCCATGGGCGGTTCATCAAGTTGGCTTTTTCCACCTCACCCAATTCTACAGTAATATGAACCACTGCTGTCTCACTCGATCGACCTCTGTCTGTCGGTCATTCCTTGTGCCGAAACTGAATGAATACCTGCGGAGGACGTATCCCAAACAAGCGGGGTTTGTGCCACCGGTAAAGTATGCGCGTCATTTCACTTTTGTATCGTTTGGTAGTGATATTTCAGGTTGAAATTTCACAAAGCCTATCATAGGTTCCAATTCACCCGCTCGCCCTTAGGCGCATTAATTGATTCGTAGCACGTTTCAGAGACCCACGTGGGTGCGAGTGTCGAAGCTCAGGTCAACATCAGAGCGGACCGCTACGAAGCGTCGAAACATGCATGAGTGCACCAGCGCCAGGAAGCAATACACACGAGTCGGATGGAGGTGTTTTATTGGCTCTTTTCATTTCGCTGTGTCATCACAACGAGTTTCGCATTTGTTGTTCATTCACTCACAGTCTGACTGGATTCACTCTTTTGCAGATATTGCAATGCCGGCAACGTCCACAATTGCACGAACAACACGAATGGGGCGCTCTGCTGCCGGCCCACTGTCGGCATGACTTACTTCTGCACGCGCCTGACCTTTATTCATCCTGCGCTGACATCTGGTTCCTCTCGCACGCCTAACAACAGCATGTGCATTGTCACCGTCAAAGGCTATTGAAAAATGTAAGGCACGTACACGCAGCAGGTTTGCAAGAAGATCTGCGACGTTTCCAACATAAAAGTGAATGGAGCCTGCAACCGCACGTCGATCCTGTGAAAGCCCTATGAAAATGTATGGTGGATAGCGTGTCCTTTCCCGCTATGGCCTTGGGTCTCATTCGTTGGAGCAAGCATGTCTGCAAGATTGGAGAAGGCAGTATTCGAGTTTTCACTTCACGTGTTCGAGGCTGTCGGGGGGGGGGGGGT